GTATGCGGGCGCCGGGCGCTCCGGGCTGACCGTCTGTGCTTCTGTCTGTCCGACCTTCTGCAGCTGGAACGCGCGCGCTCCGAGGCTGGGGAGGCGCTGAGCGCGCTGCGGAGGCTGCAGCGGCGCGTCTCGGAGCTGGAGGAGGAGTCGCGCCTCCAGGACGCCGGCGTGCCGGGCACCTCGCTGCAGTCGGAGCTTGCCCACAGCCTTGACAGCGACCAGGACCAGGACGGCGACGCACGCGGAGACGCCCAGGTGAGCTCGCGGCGACCAGCCCCCATCTGTGCCATCCTGGAGGGGAGCAGGCTCCTCCCCTCCTCCTTTTTCCATGAGATTCCACACTGCACTGACTGATTCCTTTGGCGCACAGACCATCCTGTCCCCGGAGATCCAAGAGACGTCCAGCCCCCAGCTTTCATCCCAGGAGGAGAGCTTAGAACCCCCCAAGAAGCGAGCATCCCTGAGCCCAGCGGAGATCCTGGAGAAGGAGGCAGAAGTGGCCAGGCTGCAGGATGAGGTGGGGGAGAGGGGCATAGTGCTGGATGCAGAGCACGCCCCTCGTCAGTTTCCCATCTCCACCTCCCAGCCTTTGCCCACTAAGCCCCCTATACCTAGATCTCAACAAACGCAGTGATGCTTCAAGAGCCAGCCTATATGCCAGCCTCCTCCAGGAAGACTTCCTGGACTCCAACCACCCCTCCTTAGTCCTACCCCCAAAGCATCCCTCCTGCAGGCTTATACGTCCCCAGCTAGCCCTGTCTCCTGCACCAGCCCGAGGCAGGTTCATTTCCGAGTCTCCAGCACAGGGCTACAGCTGCCTATGTTGTTTGTCGAGCAGGCAGGGGAGGGCTGGGGAGAGCTGGAGGAGCCGTGGCTGCCGGGAGGAGCAGGGGCTGCAAGGCCCAGAGGCCTACCCGCCGTGCTGTCCCCTCCCTGCCCGCAGGTTGTGCTGCAGCAGACAGAGCTGCAGTCCCTGCGGGAGGAGCTGCAAAGGCAGAAGGAGTTGCGGGCGCAGGATGACCCTGAGGAGGCCCTGAGCAGCGCCCTCTCGGACCGCGACGAGGCCGTGAACAAGTGAGCCTCTGCCACCATCCACCATCGCCCCAGCGGGGCTCCAGGCCCCCAGGGCTCTCTGGCCCTTCTGGGCCCCTGATTTCCCCATCCGTGATTTGGGTTAACTATCCACACTCCTACCCTGGGGCTCTCTTATCTCCTTAAGTTTCAGTGTTATCGGCTCCCCTCCAGCCCGGGTCCAGGATCCCCCCGCCACTCCTGCTCCCTGAGGCCCCGACGCCTTCAGACCAGTTCTCCGCCCCTCCCGCCCGCAGGGCCCTGGAACTGTCCCTGGAGCTCGGCCGCGTCTCGCTGGAGCGGGATTCTTTGTCCCGGGAGCTGTTGCGCACGATCCGCCAGAAGGTGGCGCTGACGCAGGAGCTGGAGGCCTGGCAGGTGAGGGCGGGACATGGCCGGGCTGGGACGGGGGCGGAGCCTGTCGTTGACCCGGCCCCGCCCCCCGCAGGACGACATGCAAGTGGTGATCGGGCAGCAGGTGCGCTCGCAGCGCCAGAAGGAGCTGAGTGCGGCGGCGGCAGCCCCGCGCCGTGGCGCGCCCCGCTTCTCGCTGCGCCTGGGCCCCGGGCCTGCCGGCGGATTCCTCAGCAACCTCTTCCGAAGGACCTGAGTGCCAGGCCGAGGGGGCCACCTTTGTCCCTCTGGGGTTCACTTTCTTCTGGCCAACGGAGCGACAGGGCTCGAATGTCTTCCAAGGGGGGCTGATGCCCTCCCCACCCCTGGAGGCTGGGCAGGGACGCTTCGGGAGCAGGGGCCAGCTTTAGGGGCCTGGGGCCCCAGGTGGGTGGCAGGGGCAGATGGAGCAGAGCTGTCTATTCTTCGAATCTGTATAGATCTATCTTTTCTAAGCACTAAGCACTGCGCTGGCATGCTCCAAGGCAGGGGAGGGGGTGGGTATTTATGTGTCAAGATCGGACAGGGTAATATATAAATCACTACACCAACGTGGCCTCCATTCTTGGGAAGGAAGCACATATAGAAAAGCCTAAAGTTTTATTGTAAAAAAAGAGGAAAGAAAAAAATCACTCCAAACCCCTGGGATGGGGGCTGGGTGTCATTGGAGGTCAGAAGGACAGGGAGAAGGCTCGGTAGCCCAGGTTGGTGAAGACGTCCACCCGGCAGCTGTTGCCTGCAGCTGTCAGGACCTAGAGGCAAGAGGGGTATGACTGACCTGGTCACACCCCCAGGCCTCCCAGGATCCCCCGTGGTCCCACTAGGCCCACCTTGCACTCGGGGGCTGCGGGCTGCTGGTTGAGGCTGAGGTTGAGCAGCCCAGGGGAGGAGCTGGGCACCTGCGCCTTGAGCTCCCCACTCAGCTGCCACTGGTTGACACAGGGGCCCTGGCCTGCTGAAAGAATCTGTGGAGGACAGGGAGGGGGTTTGGGGGTCAGGGCTGGAGAAGGGAGCCGGTGGGGCTGGTGGAAGCAGGACAGAAGGCCTCACCAGGTCCTGGTAGAAGGTGACATGCTTCTGTGGTGCCCGCATGGGGAAGATGGTGGTAGGTGTGGAGGATCGGAGGTGCCAGAGGGTCAGGGCTGGGCCCCCTCCACAGACCTAGGCAGAAAGGCAGGGTCCCCAGACACCGTGAGCCACAGGCCCTCAGCTGACAGGGCCCGGAGCTGCCACCCCGACCCACACTCTGTCCGGCTCACCATCCAGTCTGAGTCAGTCGCCAAGCATCCGATCCAGCGCCCATTGTGGGGCCTTGAACACTCCTGAGAGGGAGGAAGGGAAGAGGTGAGGACACAGAGGACACTGGGAAGGAGGAAGGGAGAACAGGGGTGTGGGTGGTGCCCTCACCTCGTGCTTGTAGACCTCAATTGTCTGGACCTCCTTGGCTGTGCGGAGATCTGTGGGGAAAGAACCATGAGAGGCGCCCTACTCGCCCCAGCCTCCCTCACTGCCATCTTGCCCTCCAGACAGCCACCCTTTACCCCAAAGCCGCACAGCCCCATCCTCGCCGCCTGACAGAACCTCGGGGCTCCGTTCCCGCAGTGCCAGACAATGGATGTAGTCTGTGTGGCCCCGGAGGGCCCGCTGAAGAGAGAGGGACCATGTCAGGAAGAGACCAAGGAAGAGCACACCCCCACCCCCAGCCCAGACTGCCCCCAGCTCCAAGGCCCTGCTCACTGTGAAGGTCCCAGTTTCAAGGTCCATTATGTGCAGCTGACAATCCCCTCCAGCCAGGATGAGGGAATTCTCCTGCAGAGGAAGGGAGGGTGGGGCTGGAGTCATTGTCAAATCAGGACAGGGAGAGGGTGAACGATTAATGTTTGGGCCAAGAACAGTCACAAAGGTTCAGACCTTGGGGACCAGCAGCAAAGCATTGATCTCAGGCACTTCCAGGCTGGTCCTGGGGGGAAGAGGAAGGATTGGCGTCCACAAGGCAGTGCCTCCACCCCCATGTGCCCTCCACTCACGTGGCCCTGGCTCACCTGTATGGAGGCTGACGATGCCACAGTTCCTTACAGCCCTTCATGGGGGAAAACACTGGGTGACCTCAAAGGCTCTTTCTGGGGTGGGGCACCCCAGCCTTTCCTCAAGTTCCAGACTCCTTACCTTCTTGAGGACCTCTGCCCAAAGCCAGGCCTTCACCTCCCCATCCCCAGCACTGAGCAGATGTCGATCGGTAGAGACCATGCTGTAGACGGGCCCATCATGGGCTAAAGGGAAATGCCGAACTTGAGTGAGCCCATACTGTCCCTCTCCTCCACCCCAGGGTCCCCTAAGCCAGATTCGATGGCTAGACCCACCTTGGAAAGTCACCATGGGCTTCTTACTTTCCTCTTTGGCCTCTGAGCTCAACGCAGCAGACAAGCTGAAGGGCAGAGGGGAGGGGGGCACAGGAGTCAGAATCAGGGGGCATCAGTCCCAGGAGGGCTGAGTGCCAAGGTTAACAAATGGTGGGAAGCAGGGTCCGAGGGTACCTGAAGATGGCGATCTGCCCATAATTGTTGCCAACCGCCAGGAACTTCCCACAGGGCGAGACGCTCTGGGAAAAGATGGTCATGTGCAGCCGCTGCAGGGCCTGAAACACTTCCATCTGTGGGGAGAGGCTGGATGAGGCCTGTCTGGGACATCTGGGGCCTCGAATCCACAGACTCCTCCCTGCTTCCCCTGCCGCCAGCCTGGCTCCCACTGCCGCCAGCCTGGCTCCCAGACTTAGTTTTCTTTTGAGGCTTCCCCTGCTGCCAGCCTGGCTCCCAGACTTAGTTTTCTTTTGAGGCAGCCCACCATGCACGCCTCTGCCCATGCAGTCCCAGGGGTGGCTCCAAGAAGAGGGTGAACAAGGACAGAGTTGAGGAGTGATGCCTAGTGGAACCTTGAACAAGCACCCAGACTCGCCTACCAGTTTCCCCCACCATCAAATGGAGCTCACAAGAGATTCTGTCACGATTAGATGAGCTAAAGATTACCAAGAGCTTTGCCTAGGGCTGTCACGTGAAAATTTCTTAAAAAGCAGCTCTACTGCCCCAGCACAGAAACACGTACTGACTTCTAACACCTAACCTCTGGCTTTTATGTTAGGCCCCCGAGGCACTTCTGGGTTACTCTCCCGCCCCGTGGTCAAAGTCCTAGCCCCACAAACAGCCCACGCAAAACAGAGATCAGGGCAGGATTCCTTGCCCGCCCCATCCCAGCACGGCCCGGACTACAAACCCCAGCAGGCACCGCGCGCTACGTCCGTCTCACCTGACCAAGAGGCGCTGCGAGCGGCAGAGCTCCCTCCATCTCGATAACTACAAGTCCCAGAGAGCTCCGCGCACGACGCAGCCGCACAAGCCCGGAAGTGAGGACAAGCGGCTCTTCACCGCCGCCTGCGCGAAGGCGGCCGCCACGTAACACCCTGAACCCCAGGAACCGAGGTGAGCGCCGCGAAGCCCCCTGACACTAAGGATTGGCGCTCACCGCAGCCCTGCCACGCCGGATCCCCTCCCCCACCCCGCCAAGCAGATCCGTCTTCTAGCCTCACGCCGCCCGTCTTCCGCTCCTGCGCGGAACCTCGCCGCTGTGCACGCCCAAAGCCACGCCTCTTCGCGTTGGGCCACGCCCTCGGACGCTCCGCCCCTGTCGCCCGGATCCCACCCGCAAGACCCCGAACCCCAATGATCCTGCAGGAGCCCCTGGAGCGAGGTCCCCGGGGTCGGGCCCAGCGCGACCCGCTGGCCGCCTCGGGAGCGATTCGGGGCCAGGACGCCAGGTGCGTATGGAGGCCCTGACCAGGGGGCTCAGGAGCTTTGGTTGGGGTTTCAGGGCTGTTCTGCAGGATGACACGCGATGGGGCGAATTAGCGGGGCTTGGACATGAGCTGAGTTGGGATTGGGGCTGGGGGCTTAGTGTTGAGACTTCCGAGGTAGGCTGCTGGATGGCCCAGGAGAGGGAAGTGACAGGCGTCAGCTGAGACAGGGATGAACTCGGGGCTCCTGGCTGACGCTGCAGGCTCAAGCGGGCAGATCCTCGGGAAGGGGCCAAGAGGGTGGGGTGCACCTGGCTCTCTTTTTTTCCCAGCTCCCCTCTCCGAGGAGCTGTGCCCATGAGCACCAAGCGGCGCCTGGAGGAGGAGCAGTGAGTTTGGGGGCAGGGAGGGACTCCCAACCTGATCTCTGTTACCTGTGGTCCCCATCAGGCTGCCTCCCCTCTCAGTACTCCAGCCTGCCTTTCTCCCTGTCTCTCCTCAGGGAGCCTCTGCGCAAGCATTTCCTGTCGGAGGAGAACATGGCCACCCACTTCTCTCGACTCAGCCTGCACAATGACCACCCCTACTGCAGTCCCCCAGTGGCTTTCCCTCCAGCATTGCCGGCACTCAGGTAGGCACCTCCACTGGCCACGCCTTCTAGGTCACACCCGGTCCTCAGGTGCTGACCTCCAGCACGTTGCCTCATCGTGCTATTTTTAGCTTCTAGCGGGCCTCTGTTTCCCATCTTGGCTCCTTGGAAAGTGCTGGGAACCCAAGAGCCCCTGGGGACGTGAACCTGGTGTGATGTGGTTCTACCAGGCCAGCCTCAGCCCCATGCCCTTACTGTCATTTCCTCTTCCAGGAGCCCTTGCTCTGAGCTGCTTCTCTGGAGCTACCCTGGGAGCCTGATCCCCGAGGCACTCCGGCTGCTGAGGCTGGGGGACACCCCTACCCCCCACTACCCTGCAACCCCAGCTGGGGACATAATGGAGTTCTGACTGCTGGTGGACAGTGCCCCTCCCCACCTTCCTTCTTCCCCACAACAGAGAAGACCAGCAACCCCCACAAACGGACAAGGTGCTGGCTTATTCTCCTCCAGCCCAGGCATCTGGGCACCAGAACCTTCCCCCAACAGAGGAGGACACTGAGCCCAGTGGAACCCTGGGATGGGAGGGGCAGGAGCTAGGAAGGGAGGCATCTCCCCCAGGAGAAATGAATAAAGATTGCTGAGGAAATGAAGGCTTGTCTGGAACCTGGGGCCTTTGGGAAGGAGGGGACGGCTGGGGTGTTGGATGAGAGGGTTGCTCCTCAGGATCTTCCCTGGAAAACGGTCAGGGCCAGCCAGGTCCTGGCAGGCTGGGCTCCAGGCATTGAGAATGTGTGAGTCAGAGCCTCACCCCCGCCCCCGCGGCAGACTGACTCACTCCCTCCCTCCAGCTCTGGGGAATCAAGCTGGGGATCCTGCAACTCTCCAAGCCATTTAAAGTTAAAGATTCTTTTATTAATAAGTTCTCCCTCCCCTCCAGACTTTCTCCCCAAAATAAATATGTCCTCCCCCTTTTGCAGGTTGGGGGGTCCGTATCTTGGGGCAAGCCCTCCTAGAGGGCCAGCCCCTAGTGTTAAGAACAGGTCCCTAGCCCTCCAGGCTGAGACCACCTGTGGTGGAATATCAGTACGTCTGAGTGGGTGGGCCCTAATGTTGTGCCTGCCCCTCAAGTCAGCCTGACCCCCCAAGGCATCAGGAGACCCCCGTGTGCAAATGCTGCAGTTCCTTAGTGTCAGCGGGTTTGTGTGAGCCAGCATCAGGCTCCTTTTCTGTCTTGGAGCCAAAGACAGGGCAATAAGACACCTTGGAAGGCTCCGCTGAACCCTGGGTCCAGGCCTCAGAGGTGATTCACCTCCCTTCCCCACCCCCCTTGTGGTTGGAGGAGCCTGGCTCAGGCTGTGTCTGGGAGGCAGGGGCTGGCTCCAGAATGAATGAATGAATGAATGATGAGTAGGCGCGGCCCGGGCTGGCAGGGGGCGCTCAGTGTCACTGGATCAGCGCCACGCCTGGGCAGCCCTCTCCACCAGTCTCTTCTATTGGGGCTGTAAGATAAGAGGTGGGGTCGTCATGAGAGGGGTAAATGTCGGGGAGTGATAGGGGCGGGCGGGCCGGAGCACACTTACTGGTAAACTTCTCTCTCCTGCGGCACCGTCTCCAGACGAGGAAGCCAGAAAGCAGCCCCAGCACCAGAGCCAGGCTCAGGGCGCCCCCCAGGATGGGCCAAAGCAGAGGGAAGGGGGCAGGAGGTGCTGTAGCACCTGGGGGCGGGACTCGAAGTTAGACCTCGCCCCTCTCCGGATCAGCCCCGCTCTCTAGAACTAAGCCTCAAGCCTTCCCTCTATCACGGCCCTCACCCTGATTGAAGACCCTTCCCCACTCCCGCCTCCTCCCGCCCCGAATAATTTCCTACATCCGAAGCCCTCTGTCCCGCTCTCCGCCCCAGCAACCCTCTCCTCTTGTCTGGGGTCCACTTGCCACTGGCCCCGCCCCCCACTCACAGCCCAGGCAGAAGTCGCTGTGCGGTCGCGCTGGGCACGAAGCGCAGTCCATGCACTTGTCGAGGTCCGAGCTCCAGGAGCTGCCGCGAGAACAGGGAGCAGTGCCTGGGGAGGGGGCCGCGGGTCAGAGGCTGGGGGCGGGGCGGCAGCTATTTTGGGGGCTGAGGTCAGGGTCGGCCGGCTCGAATAACATGAGTCACCGGCGCCCTCCCCTCCGCATTCCTCACAGGTGACAGCACGGCCCGACCGGGACACGGCAACGCTGGAGGGGGGGGGCGTAGCGCGGAACGCTGGGGGGGGGTCAGGTCCCACAACCCCCCCGCCGCCGGCGGGGGACTCACTCCTGGGCACCAGGCCCGACCCCGGTCCCTCCCCCCGCATAGCTGGGCATTGAAGTCACCGGATGGAAGGGGGCACCCCACATGGTATAGAGGGCACAGACCCCTGTGCCTCTCGACGACCCCCACCCCGAATCTTCAGTCATCGGGGCTGGGCAGAGCCAGTACTGACCAGGCTGGGGGCGTGCCCGCTCACCAGACTAAACATCCCGCCCTCAAACTTACTTTCTTTCTCCACTTCCAGTCCGGACGTTCGGGACACAAATCCCCCCACCCCGACTGGACAGGCGGGGCAACTGAGGCCCGGACTTTGGCTAACGCTTGGAACGCGATGAGACCTCTTTCAGAAGGGAGCGCGGTGTCTCAAGACCATCTGACCCCAGATACCCCCCGTCCGCCTGGTCCCCCCATTTCCGCCCCATCCTCCAGGCAGCCAATCCGGCTCCAGATCCCCGGCGTGGGGGTCCCCCGCGTCCCTGCGCCCCGCGTACCTGTAGCCTGCTCCCCGGCCGTGGGGCGTAGCAGAGCCAACGCGAGCCCCAACGCGAGGAGGCGCCGCAGCGGAGGCGGAGAGCCCTGAGCCATGCTTCGCGTCCCGCGGCCGCCGCTGTCTGCTCCCGCCGCCCGCGGCCGGGACCCG